GAAAAAATTATATTTTGGGTAGATTTTATTCAATTTTTGTGCTTTATCCATAGCACCTGTTTTGTCCCTATTCTCAAGAATCACCGATTAAACTTATTTAAAATATTCAATATGACTTAAAATTTTAATAGAGGATAATGTGCCTCGTGTAATAGCATGAATTACCACTTTTTTTTGTATCAGTTGGCCACAAGACAAGGCATTTATTTACAGGAGTGTTTGGTTCGAAAATTGACGGTCCCTATGTGAACCTCCGAGTGCTTGAGGAGGGAGCGGTAAAGTACAGCTGGCCAAAATTAGCGTTCAAAATTGGATCAAACATGAGCTGAACGCCCCTTATTCCGCCTAGCACGAAATATCCAGTATCCAACTTGAAAACAACTTCACTGCGGTCGGTAACACAATGAAAACACCGGTGTTTTGACTAGTTTGTTTTGGTCTGTGGCCAACAAAGATGGCGCTGAGCGACTGCATGAGATGTAAACGTCACACGCAGTGACGTAGGTTCCAAAGCTCTATACAGACTGCAAAAAGGCCAATTACTGAAACACCAACATATTCAGAGCAGTAATTAAACTAAAACTGTACAAATCTGTTATACTCAGAACTCCTCAAATGATTCAAATTCTGTAATAAAAACAAACAAAAAAATCCCCTGCTAAGGATGCTAAGCATCTCTTTCTATAATTAAAAATGTTTGTCCAAAATGAATCAACAGATCAGTTCAGCAGGAGGAGCTGAGCTTTCATCATACTGATACTTTGCTACAAATGATCAATTGTTCACTAAAGGAATTGCAGTTTAGACAGTTTTTTTATTTAAAAAAAGAATTGTTTATTTATATTTCAGTGCATTTCTGATACAGTATAAAATAAATGAAAAATCTGCTCAATATTTTTTTTTATGCAATTGTCAGAATAATCGATTACTAAAATAATCGCCACTGTCAGCCCTGGTCTTCTGTTTGAACTGTCATTTTACTCAGTTTATTTATTTATTTTTTTTTTATGTTCATAATTTCCTGGGTGCATCAGATTTTCTAAGTGCCCCGCCTTATGCATGATGGCTTCACCAAAACATTAAGTGTGCTTCATCTTTCTAAAAGCCTCTGTGCTGACACTGATGTTTTCTCTTGGTTTTTCTCCCTCCTCTCTGGCTGTCCTCCGCCTCCCTGTTGAACCCGCCTTCCCTGCAGAAGCACCAGGACACTTTCTCCCTGGCCCCCCAACGGCCCCTCCCCACCATCAACCCCATAGGCCACTCTCTCCATCCGAACGGCGCTCCCTCGCTCAAGCCTCCCCCCGTGCCACGGACCATCCAGGCCATGCCCTGGGAGCAGCGCTCCCTCTACAATCAGTGAGACTCCTGACAGCCAAGCACTTCCTGTCGTCACCTCGGCCACCCAACAACACAGCCTCTTCTTCCACCCTGCCCCTTTCACATCCAGCATCCGACATCCGGGATGGAGGATGGAGGACTCCCGAACTTCCCACTGCTTTCCGAACCTCTCCTTTTGGAATGCTGTGTGTGGGAATGGGGGAGGGCACTGTTGAGAACTAGTTGAGATTGATTTCTGAGTAGTTAGGTTGAAAACAATGTGTTGCCTTGACCCTCATGTATGATCTATGCCATGTACTGGGTAGAAGTTAAACTGTCTCCACCCTGACCCGCCCTGTTGGTAAGAATTTATCCCTCTTCTTACTCTCCCCCATAGTTATGAAAATATCTATCCTTCCCGTTATGAATAGTGCTCCCACACCCTTGCCCTTATGTTGAATAAAATAAAAATTCTTTTTTTTTTTTTAATCAGGAGCCAATTGCAAATCGGGAACAAGAACCAAGTTGTTGTTAAATGTTACAATTTTTTTTCCATCGGTCCAATATCTCTGTATCTTTGTTAAATGCCGTTTCTGCAAAAGAAAAAAAGGGGGAAACGTTTTTTTCCCCATCTAACCTTTGACCTGCTGGGGAGAGAGTGTTGTGTATATTGTGCATCAGGAGGTGTCGCCCCTCAGCACTCACCTGTCACGTCCAAGCACAAAGGAGCAGCTGAAGACATCTGCACTGGGAATGACCTCTGTGTCCAGACCTGACTGTTACAGGGTTCAGCGCCGTCGGCCTGCAGCCTCTGCAGTGAGAGACGGAGGTTGGCTCCTGATCCAGACCCGGTGAGCCCTCAGCAGAACCGACCAGGACTGAGCTCAGCAACACAGCCAAAACCCACTTTTCATCTTCAAAGTTAGTCTTTGTATTTATAAAAAAAAATAAATAAAGTAAGAATAATTTTGTTTTAATAAAATCATGCGTGCGTCTCACTATTCCCAGGATGGAATAATAACTAGATCTCAGTAAGCAGCCAATCGCAATTGACTTACATTAACTTTAGAGTATTTTGTAAACTGTTGAATTTGAATAACGATTCATTCATGGATCCAGCATGTAGTTAGTTTATCTTGCTAACTTGACGGTTGTTGAAATACCCACAATTCTACTGTCATTGTCTTTCTTCTTTTTAAAGTTGTTTCTGTTTTTATTCCTGACATGTTTTCATTGTTGCTTTCTCTCTCCTTGTAAAGTGTTTTTGAGTATTTAGAAAAGTGCTATACAAATAAAAATGTTTTATTATTATCACCAAGAGGCAATGATTGAAGCCTTCTCCTGCCGCTCAGTTCTCATTGTGTCTATGGTTACAGCTTTTTTGGCAGGGATGAAGGGGGCTTTAGAAATGATTGTAGAAGAAACATGTTCTGAATTGCCAGTTTTCTTCCATCATTCTGTGGCTTCTAGTAGCATATGACCAGAGTACTGTGGGCCTGGTTGAATTCCACTGTCAGATTTGCTTTGCAAAAGGATAAAATTGGATCTTTTTTCTGTTGTAATGTTAACTTTAATGAGTTCTTGGGCCAAGTGAGGTATAAGCAGAAAATAAGCAACAGTGACGGAAACAGCTAAAATGAACTACAGTCTAAATTCAATTCAAAAAGCCTTGTAATAATCCCAAATGAAAATGAAATGTTGTAAACCACATTAATTCAAGTTTCTTCAAGGAATTCACAGTAACTGATTGCTGTGGGCTGAAAGGATCTCCTGTAGTGGGTCAGTATTACAGCGAATTTGAAGAAGCTTCTGACTGAAGGCACTCTTATTTTTCTAAGACAGTCTCTTGAAGAGGATGCTCAGGGTTGTCCATAATATTCTTGACTTTCTATAAAATCCTTCTTTGCATCATCATCATCCCAGAGTTTCTTCAGTCGTCCCCAGAACAGAGCCAGCCTTTATCAGGTCATTGAGTATTTTAGGTTTGTGGTTCTGATGCTGTGGATGCTATAGATGAATGCAGACAATCAAAGCTCAGCTGCTGATGTTTAACTGGCAAAATTCAGAATTCAAGCTCAAATCCAAGGATAAAGACACTACGGTGAGTGATTTCTGAATGACAGCGAAGTTCTAGAACTAGCAGATTTCTCCCGTTGGGCAGCTGAAATGTTTTTTTGCCATCTCATTTTTATTCGTTCCAAATTTGAAAAGGTGTCCCTAAAGAAGACATGCATAATATATCTGAAATGTGTTGCCATACTGAACATTCGTAATATCAAATTTGTAAAGCACTCATTTTACCACAGGTTATCAAAGACAGTCATATAACTGCCACGGAATCAAGCTCAGATGATGAAACCAGTGCTGAGCATTCTGAGCACCAGGAGGATTCTGGGTACAGTCCTTCCAAAGGTCGTTTGGTTTGGTAAGGTTACCACATAAAAGAAAATATTTCCTGATAATTCTGAAGTTGGAGTCAACTTTTATATGCAGTCATAATCCATCAGAATTTTATTGAAAATGTATTTCAGAAACTCAGTTCACTAAGTGGAACATAGAATAATTCCACAGATTGTTTTCAATCCTTTACATCTTAATTATGATTTTCTGCTTACAGCTAATAAAATCCAGACATCTCTCACATCAGAACAATAACTTGTAATACACAGGTGTACCATTATTGAAAGTATGTTTCATCCCTGCATAAATGTTTTTTTTCATAAGGTACTTTTAATCTTGACACGTCTCATCAGAACACCTGTTCTAACAGAATATGGCTAAATAGAAAATGCTTTATGAAATAAGTGAAATGTAGTGAATCTTAAACCAAACTGCTCCGTCGTCTTCAAGTGAATTGTTACAAAAGTCATAAACACTTCAAAAACATTTTTGTAATACCAAAATCTTTAACCATAGTTGCATAACTTTGAATAAATAATGAGTTAATACGTTTTTCTTTGTACATTTAGGAGTAGAGCAAAATGTCGACCTTTGAACCTGGTATAGCATCCGTTAATCACTTTCTGACTCAGTCCTCTGAAACACATGTATCCGGCATAGAACTCATTTGAACTAAACATACAGAAACAATCTTTCAGAAAAATTTGTATTTTAATATAATAATAATAATAATAATAATAATAATAATAATAACAATAACATAATTATTCAGGCTCTGGTGACTTCTAATCTTTGCAGTTTTCCAGTATGTTTTCAGCCCATCTTTTCTGAATCTCAGCTGAATCCATTGTCATCCCACCAAACACAGTTCAGTTCACTGAACAGGCAACTTGTATCTTCTGCCTTATGGGACTCAAACTCTTATTTTGCAGATCAGTAAACCTCCAATAAGAACAACTCTGCTGCACATGGCTGACCTCCTTTAGAAGTGTTTTTTTCTGCCTAAAGGAAGCGGGGTCACATACATTTCTGTCACTGCATAACGACTTTCACTTTTGATCAGAAATACATTAGGACGATTTCTTTCTGCTTTGTTCTCAGTTCTACCTGTCCTCAAGATTAAGATGAGCAATTCAGATCTCTGTGAAAGCTCAGATTTACTGTTCATTAGAGATGCAGGTATGTTTCTGTTTTCATGGCCTGCTGCCAGGAACTGTGGAAGTGATCGTTTTCAGAATGATGATATAAAACTGCATCATGTTTCACAGTAACTAAGGTCTCTATAACTACAGATTGATTTGTCCAACTTTGCAGTGAGAAGCTTTGTCTAACAGTGAATTTGATGCTGTAAAGGAGTGCTTTGTTACTGATGCCTGAACCAAAGGATCACTGGTTCAATTCTCAACTTTCTTCTCATGTGAAGGTGTCTCTGATATGTTTGGCACATTACGGTAAGCATCAAAGAGGAAGTATTTCTCTACTTGCTCATGAACTTCATTGTTCAGATTTTCTGGAATGTGGCTCTCACTGCAGGCTGTGGCACAATACAACCCAACCATTTACTTCTGGATGTAACCAACAAGCATGAAGCCTTTCAGTTCAGTTCTCTCTCAACAGGTTGATAGTGACACCAGGAGACAGTCACCAACACATTGAATCCAATATGACTTAATAATTGTAAATCCGGAATAACCGAATAACCTCCAAAGCCAGTTTGCTTAAAACACCTTCAAAAATATTTCTGTCAGTTACACAGGTCTGTTGCGGTGTGACGTCTGAAACAAAATTCACTTCCGTTTATAATAGATATATTCTAAACGCCATTACTTAGGGAGGATAGTCCGTCAGTATATTTTTATTTCTTTATGCAACATTACCCAAGAACAAAAACAACAATACAACAACAACAACAACAATAATAATAATAATAATAATAATAATAATAATAATAATAATAATAATAATAATAATAATAATGAATGATTGTAGAAGACATAATGACACTGACTTTAAACTTCGACTTATTTTGTTAATTTAGTCTCACTTTTTCAAAAAAAAGTTCCAAAACGCCGCGTGCACGTGTCGGGAGCGCGCATCGGAAGCAAAGTCCTTCAGCGGAACACGCGCCTTTGTCACGCAGATTATACGTTGTTAAGGTTTTGATCGCGCGAGCCTCTTTCGCGGATCCCAGCGAATTAAAATCTAGTAGTCGGTGGGTGGAGCTTTGGCCCGGATCGTTCGCTAGTTATTGATCAAAAAATGTTTCTCATTTCGATATGCGGCTTCGTTGCGCCTATTTTTTATTACTACACGGGCCCGTCTCAGGGCCGCTGTGCATCCAGTTTAGGCTTAGACTGGGTCATTTTTCGTTAACATATCCGCAGTGAACATGCTTATCAGTTGTTTCTGACGACTGACAATCAGTCAAACGGAACAAAAGATCGACATTTAGTTACTTTCTGAGATTAATAGACGGAAACGTCTTAATTAATTATGAATTCCCTTAATTTGCGCTCTATAAAATTTGTAAAATATATGGAGCCAAATATTTGATTATTGCACTGTTACGTTTTGTGATAATTCCAAGATTAAGCTCAATTTGAGGTTTATAATTTATTAAAGATTTTTTTTTTTAATCCATTGAGCTGCACTATTTATATTTGAAAGAGGTATTAGGGCTAATTAAGCCTGTAACAGGCAAGACGGTGTTTATTTGATTAGTAGAATGGTTTCTGTCTTGTTTGACGAGTTTCTCCCCGGGGATGTTTAAGGCCTCAGCGGGCTAGTCAAGTTGGAGGCCTCGGCTGGAGCACAGGCCCAGGTGTTATGGTACATGTTCTCCTGTAGGTGGCGGTAGTGACCCAGACAGAAAGATTCCCAGCATCTTGATGTTTTAAATGGCTTCAACAAGACTTTAGGAGACGTCCACATGTAGGGGTAAGCTACATGGCTAAATTACCGACAGACATATAGAGACGACGTTGGAAGGGTTTTTGTTTTATCAGCGAGCTGATTCTTAACGAAGTAGTTGACCTGATGAAGCAGTTTTAGGAGGTTTCTTAGTTCCGCCTCCACTTTTAGTTTCTACGCAACAATTACTCTAACTATATGATCTCCCCCCCTCTTCGACATTTCAAACGATGTAGTTCATAAGGTAAGTTGAACATTTTCAATTGTCAATATACAACGATGAAAACTTTAATTTTTGTACCGGCAGCTTCACAAAAATATGTTTACCACTTTTGAAAGTGTCCTTGACGCCAACACGTTATTTTGAAATCAAACAATCTTTTTTTGTTCTTTTGATATCATTCTTTATGTTTTTGTGCTTTGTTTCCTAAAATGTTCGGCCCCCTCCCCCTCGGTGGCCGGTGCGTCTAGCTCCATTTTGTGTGGCAACACAGAGCTGAGCTCCTCCGGTCTGCTGTCCGCCACAGGAGGGCTTCTGGGCTTAGAACTCCAAAAGTTCGGTGAGTCCGGCTCACAAACAGTTAACTTCTCTTTTTATCGTTGTTGTTGTTGTTTTAATAATGATAAATCCATGATAGTGTCCTTAATATCGGTGCTAACAACCATATTTTCAGTGTAATTTGTGACCGACCTTCACGAGGGCAACCAGATCCTAAATAACCCTGATTTAGATTTTAATTAAAATTATGCGAGCAGTTCTTAAAACATCTCATATTCTCTATTTTATATTTAGTTTAAATATTTATTATTAAGTCTTGTTTCTAAACGTATTGTGTCATGTTTGTACAGTTACAGCACACGTTTTATTTAAAGATCCCGTGTGGGTCCTTGTTATTCTGCTGCACTTGTACTAGAACCAGTTCATGTTACTTTATTCCCATCATCACTCATCTACTTTTCTATTTTAGTTTTGTAGTTTATTAGACAGGGAAAGCACACTTTCATGAACAGCTAAGAAATTAATAAATAAACAAATAAGCAAACAAATGAACATTTATTTAGCCAGAAATATACCGTGGCAACTTATTGGGCCCAAGATGGTGACTTAAACCTAAACCAAAATAGCTTCAAGCAAAACCATCATCAAAAAAGTTAGAATAAAAATAGGAAGAAATGTAGTAACAAAATTGCAATGGAAGAAAAAAAATCATTTGAAAAACGTTCTAAATGGACTCTTAAACATATAAATCAAACATTGTAAGGCGTGCCTTATAGTGTTTCTAACCCATTTAAAAATGAAAACAATCTTTTATTTGGTAAGTTATAATATTTTATATTAAACCTGGTGGGGTATGACAGATTATTTGAAATCTAAGTTGGGAAATTAATCATCAAATGTGCCACATTCAGCCACAATAAACTTTTTCATTCGTCAGGTGTTGTAGAATTTAAAAAAAAAAAAAAGCACAACAGCAACACAATTTAGGAAAAAAATCTACAAATCAGATAATATTCAAACACTATCTTTACATCATAAGAGAGCGATATTTTAAAACATTCATTTAATTTAACGTTTGCAACAAGTTGTATATTAATTTTCATGTAACATGCTTCACTAATTAAACACAACAAAGCCAAACTAAAATGGTTCTATAGTACCAAATGTGACATTATTTGTGGACTAAGCTGGTTTGTGTTTTTTCATTTTGTCAGCTCTGGTTGCTTTGGATGCATGTGTTGTTGTTTTTTTTTTGTTTGTTTTTACTTTTCTAATACTTGAGTTTTCTTGTCTGTTCCGGATGTTGACTCAGTGTTTGCACCTAACCGTTTCTCTGTCTGTGCAGCAGTAAATCCCTGGTGAAATATGAATTTTTATGATGGCTGAAAACTCAGAACACATCCTGTTTCCATGATGTCAGCGCAGGAAGTAAGAGCCACCTGCTAGCTGGGTAGCCTGCTTCTATTTTCCTTTGTTTACTTTTGTACAATGCTAAAGAGACCAAACTTTTCATCTCCAAAGTTGGACATGGAGCTTTAATTACCTTTCTGCTGGGACTTCACCTGAAGTTTCTTCTAGAAACATTTACTAGCAATTTCAGTGACAAAGGAAAAACTAAAAGAATGACAGAATTTTCAGGTTTGAATAAATATCTGAAAAAAAACCTCAGAATGAACAAAATGGTATTTTTCCAGATGTTTTTTTCTTTGTTGGTTTTTATGAGAATATTACATCTGTAATTTTTACATGCAGTTGGCCAGGCAAGGCGTTTGCCTCACATTTAACCCTGGAGGCTGATGCCAGAACTATCAGCCTGAGGTGTAACCATTCATTTTCATAGGTTTAATTTGCCAGCTATCCTCATGTTGATGGAGGTGAACAGTTCTACTTTTAAAATATAAATTTGTTAGGAAAAATTATTTCCTGATTATTTACTGATAGTCTGTGACTTTTCGTGCTGTTTTTAAGGCCTGACCACTGTAGAAATAGTTGCTGTAAATCTGTGATAAACATTTGCATTTATACACCAAAAATGGACCAAAGAGATATAAAAAATTAGTCAAAACAAATGAGAAGTATGTAGGAAGTTTAGTAATCTGCCACTTTGCATGACAGAGTAGCCTTAAAAGTTACAAATAGAAATACAAATGAATATTATTAGAGGGATTTCCATTACAAACGAGGCATTTCTGACCAATGATTTCACTTCAGAAAGCAACTACATCACAGTGTTAAACAGACTAAAGATATTTAAAATTTTTACTTCAAGAAAATGATGACAAATACTTTAACCGAACTAACATTTTTTCCGTTTTTCAAAATCTTGTGAAAACATTTAATTTTAACAGGCTAATAACTTTGGATGAAACTAACTGAAGTTATTTAGATTTTTCTCGTTCAGATAATTTAAAGGTTATTTAACTTTAGTTTTTAGTATTGAATGTGTTTTTGGAAGTTATCTAGCACATTTCAGTTCATGACAAGTGAATTTAAATCTGTGAAAAGCAGGGAAAAATGATCTTATGTCATAAATGCGAGCAGATGATCACCACCACAGCTTCCATCACAACGTAGCAACTCAATTTCCCAGTTAGGACGACCTCAGAACTTCATCTGATGATGAAACTAAAAGATCAAGATGAAATCATTTTAAAACCAGCAGTGGTGGAAAGTTATTGAGTATTTTTACTTCAGTTCAGCTCTTATTGCTGTTTCACAGTATTTTTGTTTTTACTTCTTTTGATCTTGTACATTTAGGAAGTAAGTGTGGAGCATTATTTTCATCTCCATCTGCTGTACATCCTATTTCTTTGGAATTGAAGAATAACTAAAATTTGTGCACTGATTTGCATGACTTCAGAGTAAAATGTTTCTGAATTTACCAAATATAGTGATGTACAAAAACTGTGCATGTGCATCACTATATTTGATCTGTTTTATCACAAATCTCCTGTTGCTTCAGCTTCAGTTCTACTCTGCTTAGATTTTCTAAATTTTGCATAGAAGCATTTCAGGTTTTTTTAAAAAGTAACTTTCTGTACCTTGCTCTCTTTTTAACAGGTTCCTGTATACTGTCCTGAAAGGTCTTAACTGTGGACACTGATTATCAATAAAATTTGCATTAATATAGAAAAAAATAGAATGAAGTATCAAAATAACTTTACTTTCTACCCCGTTTTCATCAGTTTTTTTCTTTATATAGTTTTATATTTAGGTCAAATACTTCATATTAGATTTGCCACATCACATTGTAATGTTTATGCTGCATGTTTAGATGTTTGAATTACTGATATAAAACCCTCGCATAAATCCACACTTAAGAAAAACTGATCAAACAGACATTTCACAGCATTTTTTTTGATTCAGGGCTTTAACTTGGACCTGTGGTTCTTGAACTGGATCTCAAACGAGCCACACCTTAAAATTTATTTTGTCTTTAAGAAGATCTCACATTGTGATTTTAAAGAACATGTATAATGTGAGTTAATGCAGTCCATATAGTTCTGGGTGTTACAGGTTTAAAAGTAGACCAGATACCAAAAATTTTTACATTTAGCAAGCAAATGTTTTGTTTTAACATGTTCCATGTGTTGAACTCGAAACATGAAGAAAACTGAGTTTATCTCTAGGAACTCCACTTTACTGAAATAAAGTGTATCTTGCACAATGGAGGTCAATAATCCATCTTCATGGCTTAAAAACAGATGCACTTGTTTGATGAAGAGGAGTTTTTTATATTTCATATATTCTACATATATGCAGTGAGTGGAAGTTCTGGGTTTTCAGCTGTTGGTCGTGGTTTTGCCTAATGTAAGAAATCGGGTCCAGTTGTTACTTCTGGTGCTTCTGAAATCTGGATGTTATTTACACATTCATAATCACAAGTAACTGAACGTAGAACACGACCGTCTTTACATCAGTGGTTTCCCACACTGCCAGAAACAGGAAAGTGAACTGGAATGACATCTCTGCTCTGTTACATCAGGTCGTTAGTCCAGCAGCAGATATTCCACAAAAATATCAGAATACTTTCAGGACCTGCCAGTGTCGGGTCTGCTTCACATTTACTGTTCTGGAACAAACTGACGAGGAAGCAAGCAGATGCATGTTGCTAAAGGTCTTTAAAAGTTTGATTAAATGTTTGTCTCTGCAGGAAGACGCTGAATTTACACAAGACCGTTCAAACCTGCAGTACCAAAGAAGCTCTGTGTCTGAAAATAATTCAGTGAAAAATGTGAATGGAAGTTTGTCTTAATATTGTTCTAGTTTACTTCCTTTTTAAGTTTCCATTTAAATAATCCTTAAGCATTTTTTAATGTGCTTATTTCTGTTTCTACATTTAGGAAGTACGTCTCGTCTGAGGAAGAGTTAGGTCTTCACCTGGACCAGAGGCATCACATTGTGCTAAAAACATCAAATAAGTCTGCATCTATAGTCATATTTGACCAATCAGAATATGTTTGAAAAGTTAATTTCAGTAGCTAAACTCATAGAATGGAACACATTATGTACAGTCATTTTAAAATAAATTACAGTGTGTTCTCAGAAGAGGCCTGTTTATAACCTTTAACTGGATATTATATGAAGTAGTCTTTCATTGGTCTGATGTAATATTCTATTTTTAAATGTAATGTTTCATCAACTATAAGTAGAAAATCACCAGTTAACAGATTTAAGGGTTTTCAAATATTCATTTCTGTAATTAATCTGTATAATGTGTTTGACTTAGAGATAAAGATCCTGAACTAAATGGACATTTCAGTGATATTCAAATTTATTGAATGAGTTTGTAGATTAATTCCACACTGTTTCTTATAATTCTTTTAATTACATATATATTTTTGCCTACAGTTAATGAAAACACAACACTTAAGATCACAATATTACTTCAGACCAATATAAAACAATGCATAGATATGGGATTCATAAAAATATATGCTAAATACCTTCTTACAGGTTATTTAATCATTATTTAAATGGCTAACTGTTGCTATGATCCAATCTTCATAATTTCCACAAAATTCCATACAAAAACTCAGGTGTGTATTGTGACACTTCGTGTTTGCATTGTTAAAAATTTTGGATAGAAATAAATTACATCCGTTTATGGGTTTGCATGAATTTATGACATGCTCCGGTCTTTCTGTTAGTGGCAGAATAATTTGTGCTGCAATTAATTTTTTATTGAGAATTGTTTCTTTTCTTTCTCACTTGCAGGACGTTCATCGTTCAAAGGTTGAGCCTGGCTCGGCATCTTCCTCTGCGTCTCCCCGATGAAACGTTTCTGGCGGAGGCAAACATGGTGGTTTAGGAGTCTTAAAAGCTGCTGCCAACATTTGGTGTAAATTGTAGATTAATTTTAGTAATCATACCTCTGTTACAGCTAAACCAACCAGAATACTGGTCATCTAGTGGGGTGACACAGCAGTGTTCTCGTTCGTTGCTGATGATTGGCTCTGAAAGAAGTGTGGAACATGTCAGGAACAGGAGTGAGATAAACTCTGTGTTCAAAACCTAAACAATATTTAATATTGTCATGCAACACTTCATAGACACAGGCTGACCAGAGGGATAACAATCTTATCTGGAATGTGGTGATCTCACATTCCAAGAGTGAAACACAGAGAACAGAGGATACATCAGCATTAACTGGCTGTGTCTCCCACCCACTTCATCCCATTTCTCCCCAACCTTTGACCTCTGCATCTCCACCCCTCCCCCCAAGCACACAGAAAACGCTGCTCATGTGCTCTTCTGAAGAGGGGAAGAAAAATGAAAAAATTCAGTTAATTATCATTGAATATGTTATATGTAGCAATGGAGTAACTTTATTCTTAACAAATAAATGCAACATTTTATCTTTGTGTGAACCTACATGGCTTGATATCCTCTCAATGTTGCTGCTGTTACACCTGAAGTTCCCCACTGTGGATATAGTAATAGCATATTCTACCATTAAGTAGAATATGCTATTCTACTTAATGGTAGAATAGCATTAAGTATTCTTAATACTTAATTAAGAATACTTAATATTCTTAATAGCATATTCTATTAAGTAGAATATGCTATTCTACTTAATAGCATATATATGCTATTAAGTAGAATTTTAAGTAGAATAAAGTATAAAAGTACTCATGAACAGGTACTTTTACTATATATGTAATGCTTTCTACCCATAGAAGCTACTAGCTACTGCTAGTATGTATCTGATTCAATCTATGATTAGATTGACTTTTATTGACTTTTTTTTTCTCAGTAAATTGAGACATTTTCTGAGAAGTAGGGCTATAGAAACGCTCTGAATTAAACTACTAGGAAAATATGGAGTCTATAGTTGAGTTCTTGGAAACCAGCAACTCTTCATTCAGCGTTGACAAATCCATTTCTTATCCATATCACAGCACAGCTCATATTTTTTTATAAAACATTTTGATCTTTGCCCATGCTACATTTCCCTAGCTGATCGAATAATAATTCTTTATAATGCATTCTCAACAGTATGTGTTCGATCACAGATGCTTAATAGTGAAACTGCAGCATTCAGACCTAAACTGGATTTGAGTGTGGAATTTCCAAGAACTTGATCTTTAATTCTACTTACATGGTTCATGTTTTAGGTATTACTTTTAGAACTTTAAGGTTTAAAATAATGTGCTTATTGCCATTTCTAGTTTTAATAGACTATTTATAGTCTATTATTTTGTTTATTCTATTGAGTAGAAGGGGTAGGATTAGAAAACACACTGTGAAATTTGCATGGAGCTGTGATTGGAGGTGTGTGGGGTAAAAGTCCATGGATACTGGACTTTTACCCAAGGGGTCACAACATATGAATGTTTTTATTATTATTTCTACAAGAAAAAGGAAAATCATTAAAATCGTTACTGGACTTCAAGCAAACCTGGCTGTCTCCAAGATATGGGAAACATGAACACCACGAATAGGTTGATGACAGCTGTTTTTGTTTTTCTAGGTATTGATTACTCTGTACATTTGTGTGTGTATGTGTGCGTGTATATATATATATATATATATATAAAATTTTTAAAAGCTCATGTTGAGCTTTTAAAAAGGAATGTTCTCTCCCTTTGAAAACATGTCAGTGCTGTTTGAGCCACAGGAACTACCTTTTGACCTGCGTGTTTCTCTAAATGAAGAAAGGTGGGTTGGAGAGATGGAGCTGAAGTTTTCTCGCTGACTGTATGAAGTGATTGGTTGTTGCAGGTTTGGTAGATTTGACAAAATTTATTCTTAAAATGAGAATTATACTAAGGCTTTTAAATGTAATTATACATTTAAATTAAGCATTCCAGTCATTCAATATTTTAAAAAAATTCTAGGCTCGTACTAAGATGTTTGAATAAGATGCTACTTAGTTTTTAAGGGTTCAGAGCTCTTGGGTTTTCATATCAGGACCCAGTAATAGTCTGGGAATGACGGAAAGCTCCTCTGGACCCGCTTTCAGGGTTCGGATCATCTTCTACGCGGAGACGCCACGTAGCACCCTGAACATGATGATCCTCACCTATCACTGTATTGAAATAATCATGTTAACTCAGATTCGGGTTAGAGGCAGCACAATGAACCCACAAGCGAGAAAGCGGATTATAACCACGCCACGCGGCGCCATAATGACACAGCCCACCTCCACGTAGCCTGCGCAGTCAGGACAGGCCTTTGGAACTGTTGCAGCCTCCATTTTGAGAGGTTGGAGGTCTGAGAAAACGCCATGTTATTTGTTCGCCTGTGCAACACAACTAAAATTGATGTAAACACGAAGCCCCGTTCTCCCGAGAATTTAGTTTAAGTACCTTTAGATTGAGGTTAAAAACGCAAAACACATCTAGGGCGATAAATAACAGTTTCAAGTACAAAATTTGAAACAGTTAAAAGGCAGTTTCATTAATATCCGTCTGACCTGGGGAAATGTCTCAAAGGAAAGCTGCTACATTTTTGACACAGTGTTTCAGTAAATTCGAATTTGGTCAAAAATAAAGATAACTTTGTAGTTAGTGTAGCCAGCAGGGCCATTGCAGCTCTGGAGGAAAGTTTAGGACTTGAGGTTTGTTACTGTATAAGTTTGAGGGGCAAAACTATTAGTGATTACTTCAAATATCCATGTACACTTTTTTTCCCTATATAAACATCAGGAGGCGTTGGACGGGACACATTTAAATAGCAAGTGGAAATCCAACCACTCAGCTAACACTGTTGACCTACTTCATATAGGCTACTCTTACGACAAGCAGAAGCAACTGAAACTGGTTATTGTTTTAAAAAATAAGCAGAAAAGAGAAGACAGAAATCCACAGATGAGAGATGTTTCCACTCAAACATTTCTCATCTGGCGAAGCTAAAATATAAACGTGGCCCCTCCCCTTCCGCCTCTAACCTACTCTAGACCACGTGGTAAAAAAAAAAACGTGAATCGGAGTCTGAAGAGGGGCGGCGTCACCGCTCAGCCGGCAGCTCGCGAAGAAAGACAGGGGTAGAAAGGAGAGAGAGAAAGGAAAACACAAGCCTACTCCCGATTTGATCTGGTCCCGCCAGAGTTTCCCCCACTCTTCCAACACAGACCCATCATCCTCCCAACAGCTCCAACCCCCTGTAATCCACAGTCCGATAGAGAGCCCACAGGCTGCTGCTTCGACTGCTGGAGCCGGCTGCGATTCATCGGATTTTATTTCTTCTGCTCTAATCCATCTGGATTTACAAATACACTAACTCACCTCCTGGTTTGACTTTTGAAATTGTTATTTTTCTTTTAAATTTTGACTTTTGTCCGATTTGTAACTTTTGTTCTGTAGCCAGTCATTTTGGTTATCCATTTTTATTTTTTATTTTTACATTTTTATCCTGTAGCGTGAATTCCAGTTTCTGTTTGAGAGCGGTGTGACAGGGGAGCTGGTTACGCTGTTTAATTTTTACTATCGAAACTTTTTGATTTCTTTAAATTAAGTTTTTTTTTATTTCCTTTTTTATTTTCCATATTTTTGGACTGTGACAAACAGTAAGCCACCATGCACAAACTATATATTGGGAATCTAGGCGACAGCGTGACTGCCGAGGACTTGATCAAAACCTTCGAGGATCACAAGATTCCATACTCCGGACAGTTCCTAATGAAAAACGGCTATGCCTTTGTGGACTGTCCTGATGATCACTGGGCAATGAAAGCAATCGAGACTTTTTCGGGTGAGTTTAAAATGATTACTAGTCGCCAAAAGCTTCTTTTTAATTCATAGTATTTTCGGCTTTAGACGCCGACATGCAGCCCCGGCTCCATGCTCGCCCTCAACAGTGTGTCCTCATTTTATTCTTTGTGAAATTTCCCAGGCTTCTGCAAGAAGGAGATGCATAAAAATCCATGCTTGCTGTTTGGGAACTTCTTCGGTAGTGACTTAATGAATGAAGGGGTGCCATGGATTATACGCCCTGGGGAGTCATTCAACTTTTGCAGGGGGGAGGGTCACGTATTCTGGAAATTTACATCGTGGTGGTGAATGTATATCTTGGACGTTGCTGTAATGTACCAGACAAAATAACTTATTTTCTGAATTAAAAAAGACTATGTTGCATCTCCCTTCCCCTCAGAAGGTTTGATTGAACAGCCTTCCGTGTGATATAGAGTGAAGCTTTACTAATCTCCCCTCCCCCTTAAAGATGAGAGTCCACTATGACAAAGATAGATAAAAAGCTGACCTATGTTGAATGGTCCAGCAAATTCAGAAACCCAGTTCTGAACATCACCACCTTCCTTTCCCTCGGTCTTCTATGTAGTCCTCATGCAGCGAATTTTTCATGGTTTCCTACATGTGTAACATGAGGAGTGGCGAGGTCGCCATGCCAGTCAGCTGCCTCTTCTTCTGCATGAACTCTCTTAATTACGAGAACATATTTTTGACGACAGTTTCACTTAAAATGTCAAACACACACGCATTTTAACTGAATGTTTGGGTTGAATTTACACAATTGTGTGACGGGCTCTTTGAGTACTTTAAAAATAATTCTGTGAAGCACTTGGGTGTTCCTTTGAGTCTTTTCTTAGCCTATGTGCTATTTTAGTTTTTTAATAAATAGGCTATAGTGGCCCCATTGCTTAAGCTCTGCAGCTTAAAAACTTCAAACCCCCTTCCTTAGGCCTACAAAGCTAGTAAACAGTTAGCATGTAGCCACGATTTTTTTCTGAACTCCCCTTGTGTATTTTTTCCCCAGGTAAAGTGGAACTTCATGGGAAACGTATTGAGGTCGAGCACTCTGTACCCAAGAAGCAGAGGTACTGAAAACCCTTAAACACGTTCAACACTCTTCCTCTTCTAAACACACCTCTGAATGTGTTTCACCACTTTACGTTCTGTGGAATTTCAGAAGGATGAAACCGCCTTTTCTGCTGATTTTATAATAAGTGTGTGCCCATAAGAAGCAGTCTCATTTGTTGTAGTGTAAAGCCGGTCTGGGAAGCTAGCAGAGGAGAACCGTGCTGTGTAGTTGGTTTGAACGCTGTCGGCCATTGCTGAGGAACTGCACTGTGACAGCTTTGGTGGTGGAGCCTGCTGTGCTTCCTTGGCTGCTTGTAGCTTGTATTTCCTCCCTCTTTTAAATGTGTTGATATTGGTTAGATATAAAACGTTAGTAATTGTCTGTAGCAATAAGTGCTATAGACAATTTTCTGGACAAAGTCGTCGCCATAAACTGTTAAACTCAGCAGGCCACACTGACTGCTTTTAACGTGGCCACAGTGTGTTAAACAGGGCTGTGTGTGGTGTGCTCTGGAAATGTCTTTTTTAATGCACTTATCTTCTGCATTATGGAAAAGTTATTGTATGTGTAGCGTTTGTTTCTGCATGCACGTGCTGTGAATCCAATCACTTTTGATTTCAATGTCTTGTACGCAAGTATTGGTAACATGTTTACGTTAATGTTGAGTCCTGCTTTTGTTCTACTGTTGGCTTGTTGGATTTTACAGTATTTGTACTGGAGTCCCAAATAAAATGAACTCTTGTTCACAGTTTAAAATTTTTGGACATTTCCTAATTTTAGTTTAGTAACTATTATTTTTAGCTTAGTACTATTTAATACTATTTTTTACGGACCAAACCTCGTAAAATATTCCCTGTTGTGCTGGGGGTAAATTTGAATTATTATTACCACGTAGGTCTACATATAGCGTTTAAAATTCCTCGTTTCGGAGAATAATCTGGCGTTCACTGTAACTCAGCTGCTCTGTATTAAGATCCAGACCAGACCTGGTTTTAGCAGCATTATGGAATTCGCTTATAGTCCTCCATTCGTGTCTGTAACCTTTGGCACAGATACAGCACAGCTCCGCCATTTGGCTTCCCCTGTGCTCATCTATGTGCTCCATTATCAGAATAATCCGTGATCAGGTCGTGTTGTGCTTGTTCATATATCGCCCAACTATGTTTTTGGAGACTCCCCTGTATGATAACAGCACAATGTATTTGATTAAGATAAGTTTTGTAGGTGTCCGCCCTGCTGCCTGATTGCAGTTAAAATTGTGCAACATTGTAGCAGAACCCCCTCGTTGTTTTACGCTGAGTTGGAAGGACAAATCTCGAAAAATGAGAATTAAACTCGAACAGCGGGAAGAGCAGAAGGTGGTAAATGTTAGAATTGTCCAAATAATTATTGTAAAGTTACTGTGCTGTACAAAGAGACTCACAGGCCTTCCATGTGGTAACATTTGTGTAAAAGACGGTTTGTAGGGATCACCGTGGGCCACAGCCTTTCTATGGCGCTAAAACACGTGGTATCAGCAGGCGAAAAAGAAGCACTCCACATCAGGCAGTCAGCAAAATGGCGAAGCGTTCAGTTGAAAAAAGCTGGCTGCAACAGTGTGCAGGCAGCGGGCTTCACTCCCCACCCGCAGTGTGTGCGCTTATAGGGCCCTTCTGCGGCTGACGGACCCGGTTTTAGCGGCACAATTAACAACGGATTGTTTGCGGCTCTGTCCTGAGTTTAATTACGCGATCTCTCTCTCATAACCCAACTTTTAGAAACCCCATCTTAAAATGGCCGTCCATACACCCACTCATCAACAGCAAGATTATCTAAAATGTCACGAAATAGTGAAAATTATTTAAACGTGCTGTTTAATTAATTAAACATATTAGATCCCTGCACGCAGTTTAGAGACGTTTTATTGTCACAAAATTACCAAAACGATTTGTTTTTTTTTGTAAAAACCTCATTAAGTCAGCAGTGGATTCCATTGAATCCATGTTTACGGGTCAAATAAATCAGGAAAGGGAAGCAAACAAAACCTGATGCACAGTTTCTGTTTAATATCAAATTGTTTGAAAATTCCACTGAAACTAAATGTTTTCAGGGATGTTGACTGTGTGGGTGTGATGAGTGCTGGTTCAATTCTAGTCTATGAAGAAGCTACTGGCGTTGCTCTAAAATTGCCTCTACACCTTTACATTGCAGTATTCAGTTGTTTGTGAAATGGGACCTCAATGGAGGTGTGTGTTTGTGCTGGAGGAGGAGGAGGGGTGTTCAGAGGGAACTGGCCCTTATGGAGGGGGGAGGGGCAGCCTGCTTTCTACAAGAAAAAGGCTTCAATTCTCTTTTTTTATGGTGCAAGTGGCAGGTCTGAACTTATTAGCTACAGGGGGAGGGCGCAGCCCCTGACCCTGGTCATGTTGTGAACGTGGAAGCTGTGAGTGTGTGTCTGTCTGTGTTTTGTGGAAGATGCACATGGATAGGTTTTAACATTCTAAGACAGTAATAGTATTCATCATGATGTTTTTGGAATGTTTGTGGAAGGTATTGGTGGATGGGGGGATCTGGGGAAGCCTACGGTGGGCAGCTCAGAGCAGACTAGCTAGCTGGTGTGTGTGTGTGTGTGTGTGTGTGTGTGTGTGTGTGTGTGTGTGTGTGTGTGTGTGTGTGTGTGTGAATGCACACATGTATGGAGACCTTATTGTTGCGGGGGGACATCTCTCTCCGTATTCATGATCAGGAGGGAATGGTGAGCACACAGTCTGGACAAACCAGAGTGAAGATGTAAGCATGGATCCTCTCTAGACAACTCCATTTTTCTACAGCTGCTTGCTAAATAAAAATAATAATTTCACAAAATAACGTGCTGACTTAATCTGAAATGAAATGTATCATTTCAGGTAGGTTTTAAGTTGAACTTATGCTGCACTAATGGGTTTCAGTGTTGAATTTGATGTTTTCAAGTAGAAATTTGTCAGTCTTTATTATTTTTATATTTTTACATTCATTGAGTCTGCAGAGATTTAAAAAAAAGGATGCTAAAAATAAATATTTAGACTTTATTAGCTTCATCTTAATCATATGGTTATTTATGGGACTCAGTATTTTTGGGTTCATTAACATTAGATATTTTCTTCAATAGTATTTGGTGGCTGCTTGACATAGTTTCTAGATGACGGTCTTTACATTATGACTTTGAAGAAGAGCTACTGTACACTGATGACAGGTGAATTTGAAATTTGTTTTCAAATGGATGAATTGTTGCCGTTATGCTTTTGGATAATAACTGCAGCCCAAATCTGGGCATTAATTTTCTAAATGGCTTTGATTATAATTAATAATAATCATTATTAGCCTATTATGTCAACTTATTGTCAATATCAAATGAATAGTTTAATTGATAGAAGGAAGAATATTTGACATGACAAGGGTGACGAATGTGGTCTGCCGTTTCTCTGGCTTCATTTAGTCCGAGGAGAATGTAGTGAAACAATAACAATCTTGTTTGAATTCTTAGCGAAGAGTTTTTCCACCAACCAAAGCTGAACTTGTCATTAAAAAATATCTGGCATTCTTCCCCAGCTCCACCCGCTGGTGGAGGGTTCAGGGACGTTCGGCAGACCCATAGGAATGAATGCTGCGTCTCTCTTTGAATTCAGAAAATGTATTTCAGCAAATTAGCAAAATGTTTAAACGCTTCAAATTTACTGCAGATTATTTCCACAGTGGTTTGGAAGTGCAAGCTTTAAATGTTTCATATTTGAATGACAGAGAACACGTTGAGCGGCTGCTAAGATCTTGACTTGTTTTTGTATCTGTTTGGTATTTAGGAAGGATGGTTAATCATGCTCTTCTTTCTGCTGGTATTGTAGCTTTGGTTAGCTTGTTGTTGGTCAGGTTGTAGAGCCCATGGACACCCTGGCAGGGCAGCACCACAGGAAGAGTTTGATTGTGATTCGAATGATAAAGCTGGACCCAAATAATTGATGGGTTATTCTGAATGAACAGGTTATAGTTGTATGGACGACATGGAGTGAGCTGGAAGTGCTTGGTTAAAAACCCTTAATCACATCAGGTTGTGTTATCTGGTTGATCCTCCTGCTACCACAAATATGATTCTGGAATTGCTTTGATATGCTTTTCCAGCATTTGCATTAGCAAACTAAAGACTACCAGAATCAGACTAAAGATACTTTATATACAAAGCTAACCTTGGTCTTCCTATTTTTAATAGAATACAAGGAGAGCTCAATAACAGCAAAAGCAAGGAAACCTTTCAGACGTTCACACAATACATCAGGTTGTTGTTAGTTACAAGATAAGACCAGTAAACAGGTAAAGTTAAATATGTGTTCATAAAATGTCAACTTGTAGTCTGTCAGATGACCTAGTGGAGGGAGCATCATAATTTATATAGGTAGACATATTTTGGATCGGTGATCCCTGGGATTTGTATTGTTCTGAAATCAGACATTTCTTTTTTTTTTTTAGTTGAAAAGTTCAAATGTCACATTCAGTTATCAGGCATGGTGGTCATGTGGTGCTGAAGGCAGCAGAGAATCAGTGTACAGATGAACCCTGGCCAAAGCTGCTGGGCCTGGAGGACGGAGGCTGAGGGGAGGTGGAGATTGCTACACCCAGATGCTATACCTGTTCACTGCTTTGCTCCACAATAATCTCCAGGAGCATTCAGAGTGAAGGAGTTCAGATATAACAGCTGCTCTTCTACATGAAATGAAATGGAGAAGGTGAGTGTGGAACACACGGAGCATGTGAGACGCTGCAGCGTTCAGAGAGAGGGAGCCATGGCTGGGTTTACTCTCCTCTTGTGGCTGGAGAGTAGGAGGAGGAGGGGACAGTGGGTGGAGGGAGCAAGGGGGGTGCGACCAATCGTCTGGCAGAGCTACCTGTGGTCACCCAGCTCCATGACTGGAGGGACAGGGTCCTCCCCCACACGCATGCTCTGACAGCGCTCTCCGTCTGCGTCCACATTTACTCACCGCTTTCCGTCTCTCTCTCCAGTACAGTATG